GCCCGCGCACCCGCACCACCAGATCCCCAGCCTGCCCACCGGCTTCTGCTCCAGCCTGGCGCAGGGCATGGCGCTCACCTCCACCCTCATGGCCACGCTGCCGGGCGGCTTCTCCGCGTCGCCCCAGCAGCACCAGGAGGCGGCGGCCGCCCGCAAGTTCGCTCCGCAGCCGCTGCCCGGCGGCGGCAACTTCGACAAGGCGGAGGCGCTGCCGGCGGACGCGGAAGACGGCAAAGGCTTCCTGGCCAAGGAGGGCTCGCTGCTCGCCTTCTCCGCCGCCGCCGAGGCCGTGCAGGCGTCGCTCGGTGAGTCGGCGGCGCGCGCAGCCGGGGCGCGGGAACGGGAGGGGTGGGGGGGCCGGCTCCGGCTTCCCGCGGGGACAACTGAGGGGCCGGCGGGCCTGGGGGGGTCGCGGAGGGGTCCCAGGGCCGGGGTTGGGTGTCAGCACCCCCCCACACACACACCGCCAGCTGCTGCTCTGGGCCACGTATCGGGCGGCTCGTTTGTCCCAATCCACCCCCCCACCCCGCAGCTTCTACCCCTTGCTCTCTCCGCTGGGACCTGGACCCCCCAGGGCAGCCCTCGGGGAGGCCTGTTGGAGCTCAGCCGTGCGGGGGGCTCGGGTGTCCAAACTTAAATGCGTCTCCGATGGGTTTGTGCAGGAGAGAACCAGATTCTGGAGAGGCGGTGTGTGTGTGTGCGCGCGTGTGTATATGTGCGTGTGCGCGCGCGTGTGGTTTGGCAGGAACTTCTGAGGCTGCGATCGTCCCTGCCACTAACATCACCAAACGCGCCTCCCGGCCTGCGCGCCCCGGAACCCCTCTTTCGGCCGCGAGGAGATGAAGGCTCGCTGCCTTTGCCCGGCTAAAGGGTGGGGGGCAGAACTCCCATGTCACCCAGCCAAGCCCCCCCCGTCCCGCGCCCCCGGGGACAATGGGGACGCCCTCTCGGGCCTCCACCGGCCTGCTGCTTTGCCCGGGAGCTGCCGCAGGCCGGGAGGCATGGCGGCGCCTTGAATGATGGTTGTGGGCAAAGGGTCGTCGCCCGTCCGGTCCCCTCCTCTCCTTTGAGCTTTCTCACGCTCGCTCTCCTCCCCCCCCCCAGTCCCCCTCAAAGGCCAGGAAATCGCCATGTGTTAATGTCATAGAAAGACAATCCGCTAAGTGCGGGGGGGGGGAGCAGCCGAGGCCGGCGGGCGGGGTGAGGAAGGCCCCGTGAGAAACGTAATAAAACGCCGTTTGGTTTTGCTTTCAGTCGGGGCTGTCCGAGGGCACGGGAAAGACGAGTCCAAGGCGGAAGACGACCCGAAGAGCAAGGAGGAGAGCTTCTCCTTGGAGAGCGATGTGGACTACAGCTCGGATGACAATCTGACCGGCCAGGCGGCGCACAAGGAGGAAGACCCCGGCCACGCGCTGGAGGAGACCCCGCCGAGCGGCGGCGGCGCGGCGGGCAGCACCACGTCCACGGGCAAGAACCGGCGGCGGCGCACGGCCTTCACCAGCGAGCAGCTGCTGGAGCTGGAGAAGGAGTTCCACTGCAAAAAGTACCTGTCCCTGACCGAGCGCTCGCAGATCGCGCACGCGCTCAAACTCAGCGAGGTGCAGGTGAAAATCTGGTTCCAGAACCGCCGGGCCAAGTGGAAACGGGTGAAGGCAGGCAATGCTAACTCCAAGACCGGGGAACCCTCGCGGAACCCCAAGATCGTGGTCCCCATCCCCGTGCACGTCAGCAGGTTCGCCATCAGAAGTCAGCACCAGCAGCTGGAGCAGGCCCGGCCCTGAGGGCCCTTCCGCCCTCCGGGGAGAAGCACCCGAGGGGAACCCACGGCCGACTCCACGGGCGGAAGCCGAACCTCAGTCACATCCCAGAGGCGGACAGACCAAGAAAATTGAGAATATATTCGCTACCCAGGCTTGAAAGACTGCTTTGGAAAGGGGCTACAGCCACACCTGAAGATACACTAAATATTTATTATACTACCCTACTTTGTACATAGATATCTATATAGACTGGATCTCAGCCGCAGTATTTTGAAAGTTAGAGGACAGCTTACCCAGTTATGCCCTCCCCTTACATGCCAGACCCAGACAAACCTGCTGCTGCTGCTGCTGCTGCTGCTGCTGCTCTGGCACCAGCTCGGTGCTTAGCAGCCACCTTCCCATGCGTTTCCCAAGGTAATCATGAAACACAGGAACGGACCCTGGGGTTCACACTGATTTTTTTTTAATTTTTTATTCTGGCATTTTTTAGTTGATCGCAAAGCAGACGTGGTTGGGCAGCTTGGAAATTGTTTTGTTTTGCTTTTGCCTGGCTTTCTGTCCTGGGGTGGCACATCCCACCGGAGCCATACCTGACGCGCCTTTCTGTTGTGTTTAATTTATTTCAATGTAGCTTTTGTTCAGATAAGTTATACATTTAAACAATCTCAGTCTTGTGAATAATAATAAAAAAAGAGCAAGGAAAAAAAAAGATCCATCCCCAGGCGTCCTAAGTGTGTCTAGAATTTGCCCAGTTTGGAGAACCGGCCAGGGCGTGGCGGAGGGACCTGGCTTGGGACCAGTTCTGGAAAAGCCTCGGAGGTGGAGGCCGGTCTCCAGATGGCTGGAGCGCTGCAATAGGTTCTGTGTTGGAGCGTAGTCGTTCCCATAGGGTCCCGGTGTAAGGAAGTGTAGTTTAAATCCTAGGAATGGAACCATCGCTCCCTTTTGCACGGTCTCCTCTGTACCTGGCCAGCAGGTAAACTTCGGCTAGGACAGAAGGCGGTTCCCAGAGGCGGGACAGCCGGTGCCGACGCGGCGCACACTCTCCATCCGCTGCAGGCCGGCCAGGAAGGCGTCTCTACAAACACCCCCAGACCCAAGCAGCGGCGCTCGCCGGCCCGCGGGGCTGAGGTTCCAGGCGGGCGTTATCTTCCGACTGGGGCAGGGACACAGCCTGCCAAGCCCCGTTTCCTGGCAGGCAGGCCGGCCGCGCTGGGCGCCCAGGCCTGGACAGGCACCTCCCCCTGCGGGCGGGGTCGGAGAGGGGCGGGCCCCGACCACCACCCCACCCCGGGGGCACCACAAAGGGGAAGAGGAGGGGAAAGCCGGCGGGCTGGAGGCTCGACCCGCTGGGGTCCGAAGCCTTGGGAGCGCGAGCGCCGCGCCTGGCTCCGCAAGCCCTTCCTCACTTCCCTGGGAGCCACCACCCCCGGCGCCCAGGCCCCGCGAGAGAGGTCTCGGGACCGGCGACCCCGGAATGGTGGAGGGTGATCCGGTGTCAGAACCCCTCGGGCCGCCAAACCAGCGCCAGCAGAGAAGCTTCGCGTAGCCAGCCCGCCCAGCGGAGGGAGGAGAGGCCGGGAGCTGGCCCGCCCGCGGCGGCCCTGGTCTTGGCCCCGGAAGGGGGGCCGGCGGCGCCGGGAGTCGGGACGAGCGGGGATACGGCTCGCCACCTCTCCGTGCGGGGCGCGCGGGCACCGCGGCCTCGCCCACCCCGCAGGCCCCGAGCGACGCTGGGCCGCGGGTTCCCCTTGCTCCCAAACGTGTCCGCGTCGGCCGAGCCCCGGGCTGGGGTTTGAGCGCGCGAGACCGAGACGCAACGGCTGCCGGTCGCCTCCACTGCGCGCGCGCCACGGGCAGCGGAGGTGGCACCTGGGTCGCGGGGCGCCCCAGTGTTGGCCTCCAAGGCTGCTGCCTGGATCGTGCCCTCGTGTGCCTGCCATCTGCCCTGGGAAGCCCCCCCCCCGCTGGCCGCGGGGCCATGCCTCTGCATCCAGACCAGCCTCCACTCCCTCACCCCAAACAGACTCTGGGATCCAGGCCGTGCCTGGGCCGCTTCGGCACCCCCAGTGGGACAGTGACCACGACTCAGAACCCCGTCCCCAAGACGGGGGGGGGTGAGGGGGGCGGGGTAGCTGCGGCTTTCCTGATCCACTAGTACTCGGGTCTGGGGCAGGCACCCACCTGGGCTTAGAATCCAGCACTCCGGGAAGACTCCACAGTGTCTCCCCGTTTCCTGGGGGGTGTCCTTTCTGCAGCCCATGATAGGGGTAGGTGGCAGCCCCAGGCGCGCCCCCTCCCCGTTCCCCCAGCCAAGCCTTGGGTGCACGAAAGCAGGAGAAAGCCAAACTCCTGCGGAATACAGGTTGGCCAAAGACACCACCCCACCACCCCCAACTCAGGGCCGAAGCTCCCAGGCCATTCCCAACCACGCCTCTTGTACTTTAGATTCACCCCAGGAAGAGTGGGACATCCGGCCACCCTGGGGCCCTCTAGGGACAGTGTCCCCCTCCCTCCTCAACCTCTGAGCGACCTAGCACCCAGAGCCAGGCAGCAAGGCCGAAGCCCGGGCTGGCCAGGAGACAGGCCGAGGGGAGGAAGATAAACAAGCAGAGCTTGATGGCCGCTGTCATCATGGCCGTCATCATGGCTTTCATTTGGCTGCCTAATGAGTCACATCACAGGCAGAGAGAAAAATTGTCAATCGCCCGGGCCCTAATGAATTTTTTTGCAAATTGTAATCAAGCCAGGCCGTCTCAGCTGGCTGATTAATGAGACCCACGAGGCTCGGCCAGCACCTCCGCTTTTTATTCCATCCCGTCCTCCCTGCACTAAATTAACAGCAACTTGTCTGAGCTTCAAATTAACTCCCAATGATTAATTCTGATGGGGGGGCCTGAAGAATAGCTTGTTCTAATAGGCTCTGGCCTGAGATGCTGTTGGAAATTAATACACTTCCCCTTTGGCTGCCGGCTTTAATCCAAGGTTGGGTTTTGACATCACTATATTTGTTGTTACAATAAATTCCACTTACATCTGCAGATCAAATAATTACGCTCAGGAGCTGAGGACCTATGCCCCTAGCTGTGCAGTGGTATGCCTGGGGGCTCCCCGACCCCAGGTCCACTGACCACCCCCCCCACTCACACACCCCACCCCAGGGTCAGCCTCCAGTCCTGCAACCCTGCCCTCACTGTCCTAGAACCCTTGCTCTGCCCCTGTGTGAAGCGGAGAGCACTTTGAAAAGCTGCCTCGGGATCTTCTGCAGCCATCTCCTCCTCCATATTCCCGGGAAGGTGGGGACTTGCATTCCAGCAAAAGACCCAGCCTCTGGGATGGTCCTTCGCTGGAATTTTCTAGATTTTGTGCTTCTCTCCCCCCCCTCTCTGTTTGTCTCTGTCTCTGTCCCTCTGTCTCTCACACACACACACCCTTCTGCCTCCAGAAGGGTTCTTTTTCAACCACCCTCAGCTAAATGGGGTGGGGTGCCCCCCCAGGCTCCTCCTCAGTAGAGGTTTGTCTCCCAGGACCACCCTGACTCTTTGGGTCATTTTGTGTCCTGCCTTGCAAGATGACCTTTTTCTGGGTGAAAGTCAGCGCTTGCTCCCTCCTTTCTGTTTGTTGGAGCTTAATTGGCTTAATTATTTGATCAGTGTCTGCAAGCCTCACACAGGGCAGCTTCTGCCCTAGGACCAGTCCCAGCAAACCACCACGCAGTCGGCTTGGCACACCCTCTGCGGAAAGCCCCGGGGGCCTTCTGGCTCCAGGGTCTGGCTCCGAGGTCTGGCCTCCGGATCTTCCAACCTCCCTAAGGCATCTGGAGAAGCTGTAGCATACTTGGCAGCCTGGTAACTGTTCAAGCCTTTTGCCTGCCTGACACAGGCTACCATATGATCCAGAAGCCTGTTCTTACGGGCTGTGGCCTTTGGCTGGGTGACTGCACACCTCTTTCTGTCCCTGAAGACTCGGGGCCTCTGCCCAGGTGTGCACAGCAGGAGCAGGTGGCCTACTCTGACCTTCAGGTGTGCCTAGGACTTCCCTGAAGGTTTAGCACACCTGAGTGCCCCCCTTTCCCAAGCGAGGGCAGCCAGCCTGAGCTGTTTAGGGGGAAATGCCCCGGGTCTGCGTAATGGCCCGGACAAGGGGAGGTGGCATCCATCTCCATTTGGATCCCTTATGGTGTAAACAAGAGAAATATGATCTTGGTAACCAAACATGAATACAAATCACACCTTCAGAGTAATAAAGCACCTGAAGTTCCGACACACAAAAGCAACACCATATGTATGAAGACAACCCGTGTAAATTATAAATTACATCATAAAAGTTGATTGCCTATTTGAACAGTTTAGAAGTGAAGACCTAAACTGACTTCCACACTCCATGGCTTCCTCTGGGGGAAAGGCCTGGCGGTGCTTTGGGTCCCCGTCTACTGCCAGAGCTGCGGCCCTGCCGCCTTGGCGCCCATCTGGGAGGCTGGAACTCCAGGCCTGCGGTGGGTAATCGTGGCCTGGGCCCACGAGTGTGAACGCTCGCGGGAAGCCCTGGGCTTGCTGGGCTGGGCGTGTGGGGCGCAGGGGCCGCTGCGGGGCACAGCCCCCTGGATGCCCGCATTTCCAGACAGCGTGGGGGGGGGCGCTGAATGCTTGGGGCGCGCCTCCCTTCCCCACGGGGTTGTCTCCGCGAGCAGCAGGGGGTTGCGTGGAAGACACCAGTGCGCGTGCGCGCCCCGCGTGAGCCCGGTGGGTGCGTGGCCGCGCGAGCCCCTCCCGCAGCTCCCAGGGGTTCCCCGCGCCCTGGATCTGCCGTAGCCAGGGGTTCGGCCCCGCAGGCGG